AATCTCAGAGAGATCTAACATCAGAACAAATAGTTTCTGTTTTTTAAAGAACTTGGCTTAAAGCAAGTCCTGTTGTCAATATTTTTTAAGCCATTTCTCAGCATATTCCTGTTCTCATAGTGCATCCACTGATAGGGATTTAAGCAACTGCAAAATCACAAAGGGATTTGTTTAGAAGGAAAGGGAGCATGTAGAATTTTTTTCCAAAAGGACCTCTAGAGAGCTTCTGTCAAAAGAAGGACTATTGCTAACACCAGATCAGGTCACTAAAAGAAAGTGCTTCAGCACCAAGCTCTACATTCACTCTGATGAAATCTAGAAAACAATAGCAGGAACTGTACATTCATAAATCTTTATCCTGAGGAGGTCAAAATTATTTCTTCACAATCAAGTTCATGTGTCACCAAAGCACAACCTGAAAGGTTTGTCAGATCTAGAAATAACAGGACTTTTCTGGGTGGAAACTCATTCATTGTTCCTCCTACCCTTTCTCTTTACAGGGAAGGCGAGATAAATCTGCTCTACACGAGCTTCCCTACCCCCATCAGAGAGGAAGTGTTACAGTGAGAAATGATGTCTCTTATTCAACAAAAACTGCTGCTTTCTTAGCCAGCCAGTGTTAATGTAGCTGCTTGTTACATATAAAAATGGGGCAGGATGCACAAATCAAAACAGTCAGACAGGCGTGAAAGAGAGAGAAGAAACACGGAAGAAACAAACCAAATCAAAACATGAAATAGCCATCCTGGCAGGAAAAGAGCTGAGTGTAAGAGCAGCTCGCCTGCTTCCTGACTCTCATAAAGTCAGCAGGAAATACCAGTGTACTATATACATTTAATGTACGACATAAAAGAAAATTTTCTGGGAAGGTATTGTTTATTTCAATGTTTTAAATGCATCTGGATTCCTGATTTCACTGACAAAAAAAAAAAAAAAAAAAATCTTCATTTATATTTTCCATGGCAGTTCAGAGCAGGGTTTTCCTAGAATGTAGTTACACGCTCCGAGTGCCAGAGCGCTATTCAAAAAAACCCAAAATCAAACAACCAACAACAACTTTTCACAGAATGATTCCTGAATTTTCATACCAGACTTCACTTTGTATTAACTCCCGGTTTTGCAGGGTTTTCTGGGGTTTTTTAAAGGCTCCATTTTATCTTCCTGATTTACCCCATTCATAGCAAAAAAAACCAGTTTATCCTGTATATTTATTAACTTCTTCACAAACCTATATCAGCAGAAAAAACGCACCAAACAACAAAACCCACACCGCTGAGTACTTGTAATACTTTCAGGAATCTCCATTTTTAAGGAATCATCAAGGTATTTTGATAGCTAAAGATGCTCTGGTTTGGTATTTGTAATACTATGTAGGGTGCATAATTTCCATAGGTTCCTGCTGCAAATACTTTCACTAGTTTGCATTATTTTTCTGTTGAACCACCAAGTGATACTGTACACTGGGTTCACTAATATCCTTAATCACCCCTTACTAGTGTTACAAATCAAATCAGAATTTGATCTGCTATCTGCATTGCAAAGACAACCATTTTACATATGTTTGTTACATTTTGAGGTTTTTCCCTATACTGAATATTATGTCAAATCACAAATGGGAGACCAAAGCTTTCAAAAATATCAATTTAATGCACTAAGCTACTACAAAATGTCATCAATTTACTGCATTTGCAGGCTCTGCCTGACAAAAATTATGGTTCTTTTTTAAAAATAGGCACAGTGTATACGGCATACTGCCATTAAGAAATACCAGTAATAATCAGATTTAGAAAAAAATTGCTGAATACCATGCTACCCATCACAGAATTACAAAATGCACTGCCATGAGAAGTTAGCCACATTTTTCTTGCCTTATGTCAGTGTAATCTCACTAAACTTGATATTTCTCTCACATTTGTCTTTAGCACATTGTTCTGATCATAGTTTCATCATTCTTCAAGCCACTTAAAAAGCATTACACATCTAAGATCAGAGTACAGTCATTACTCTACAGCTTCAACATCTATTCATGTATAATTCAACAACTTTTTCTCTCAATTAGCTTCTTATTCTTAGGATCTGGTCTAAATGTTCTTTTTTCTTAAAACACAAAGAACTTGGCTATGCTTAGAAGGGCAATATTCACTACAGCTAAATATTAACAGAAACCTTTAAAATGTTATTTTAGCATGTAAAGTGAATTCACCCCTCAGCATTTGTCCTGCTTGTTTACAGGACATACAAAGGTTACAGTCAGAGCGGAGACAAACCTGAAGCAACTGCAAAGCTATAAGCAGAACCTAAAATTTCCCAAGATTTGGTCTAATTACCAATGAACTCCCTCCAACAAAATCTCTTGTGCCAAAAAATGGCATAAATCCACTTACCCTTCATCCATTTTCATTAGTTAGAGCTGAAGTTATCAGCAAATCCATTCAATACTATTATAAAATCTATTCTTAAAATTCACATTTAAAAGTAACTCAAAAATTCAATACAAGTTCCTCTATAGGGTTCTGTTACCACTTGCATTTTCTTCAATCCCAAGTAGAAAATCAGCTATGTCTGCAGTGGACTTATCAGTGAAATCCAACCGGAATTTTTAAGATGCATTTGGTTTTACTTCTTCATCCAATAAAAAAATATTTTGGAGCTTTGATAAGAATGAAAGACTGGAAATCCAGTTATAATCCTCCGCAAACACTCCAAGTTTACAACACTGGCAGAGGTAAACCAGGTATTATTCCAAGGGTGACATGATGCATGAATGAACAGTAAAACACCAGTGTAGGGAAAAAGTAGATGAGTTGGATGAGAAGGTGTTATGTGCATGCTCTGAACGTAATTTAAGTGACTTACATGTGTTACTAATCATCAACATAAAATTCAGGAGAGGAGATACTCAACACTTCCTTTAGTATAATTAATGAATAACGCCTCCACTCTCAGGAAGCATACATAAGATGCAACTGATGGGCAAATGCTGGAGGCCAGGGAAGGGCACACATAGCATAATGGGATGAGCAATAAGAATTGCAGCAGAAGCTGCATTTCTAGGTTTCTAGAGCTAACAATATTAGTTTCCAACACGTAGAGCAGTATCAGCAAGCAAAAGTTCTCAGCCTACATAAAGTGACATTACTTTTACTGACACAACTTGCTTTTATTAATATATGCTAACATTTGCCTGGTTGTGGAATCTTTCAGAAAATGAATAAAAATATTATTGGCATGTGAGAAAAATACCAAGTGTTACCTGCTGTGAGATAATGGAAAACTGTGCAGCTCCTTCACAGTAAACACACTCTGCTTGTGGGCCAACTCACCTCCATCTGGCGGAGCTGCCCAACAAATACAGCCCCAGACACACATCACTGGGCTCTGCAGAACAACCCAGTGAGTGTTCCTTGCTATGTGCCTCACTAGGCCTTGGAATATTTTAGCCAAGAGTTCATAAGAAAACTACCCAGAACACATATGTCTGTATACAGACGGGTGGTCCTATACAAGGCAAATCTGTCACATCAAACCTGCTGTAACTACCAGCACAGTACCTTCAGTTATGAACACAGCACAGACACAGACACTCCATAAGGGCAAAACAGACATTATATGAGATGAAACAGAGCCTCAAGGCTATGCCATAACCATGATTTAAGTATTAGCTTGCATAATGCTCCTTTACAGCCTAAAACAGGTTTTCTGTTAAAACAGTAAAAGAAATTTTACTCTTGAGCAAGACGTACTTCAAAATAAAATTTGGCATTTGTATTACTATGCTGGAATGTCATTACCTTTTACATTAAAATGGGAAACATTAGCTCTCTGTTCCATTTATTTTGCCAACAGTTTTTACATTCAGTTAATTTTACCTTTGACTTTTCCTTATTATTTTAAGCCCAGGTACTGGCACACACCATCTTTTTTCAAATATATGAATAAAGTCTTTAGCTCAGGGCCAGACTCTAAAGCCTGTCTAACCTAGGGCTTTCCTTGCAGCCAGAGGGACTACAGACAGAGAGATATTGTAGATTCAGATCTCAAGAATTAAGCTGCAATATGTAAAGGATTTCACTAAGGTAGGCTCAAGTCCTGTAAAATCCCTATAGATAAGCCCCAATACTCTGACCTCAGTAATTAACCTTATTAGTCACTGCTATCTTTAAACAGACTTGTCAAGGATATACACTAAGCAACAATGGAGACACTGTTGGACATGCACAACACCAGAATACAGGGCAGGATACTGTTACAGTGGCTTTATTCAAGAACTGCAAATTATTGGAAAGTTATTTCATTTCATTAGTCAGTCACCACCAAATAAAAAGTAACTGAATGCGGCATAACAACCTCTCTCTCTTTGTGAGTGTGCATATATATACATAAAATTTGAATACCAGTAGCCTTTTGTAACTACCAATAGTGTATTTTTTATTTTACCTAATCATACACAAAATCATTGCAGAAAAATGTTCATAAAAACACCTCAGGAGGGATAGAGTAACACTCAAGTAACAACTTGAAAAACCCCTTTGAGGCTGTTATCTCAATTTTGCTGAATTGATTTTCAAAATGTCCACTTAAACTCTAATTTGCAAGAGTATGGACAGAAGTGGTTGCAATTTAAGGCTGTTCCTCTGAATTACATTACTTGCAGATAATCTAAAAAACCACACTGTTGTAAGATGGTTCTAATTTCTTTAACAACTCCTTTAACAACGAAAACACCAGCATCCTTCCATCAGTACTTTCTTCCTCCTCTGCAATTTGAACAAACACTGTCCTTCGGAAAAGACTGCATTTACAAACTTTAGTCCTTCACTCCCAGGTTGTACATGCCCAGAAAAGACCAAGTCACACACATTTTCCCATCTCATAAAAATTTCATGAACTTACTTTTAGACAATTTTCAGATTTTCAAAGAAATGAAAAGAAAAAAAAGAGAGAGAATTGACTGTAAAAGAATTAATTTAACATCTGATATTCAGCTGCATGCAGCTAACCTTTGTGTTTCCCTTTTTTCTCCTTTCTGGTGCTGCTAGTCTGACAGCTTGCAGCTGCTCCCTTGGTTTTTTTAGTTGGTTTCGGAGCTTGGGCGTCCACTACCACCTTTACATCTTCCTGTTCGGCCTCCTGCACTGCTTCAGAGATTCAGGGTACCCCACCAAAGAGAAAAAACAGAGAGAAGAGAGAAACAAAGAGAAAGAGAGACAAGAAAGAAAGATTTGAGAACTCTGTGAAGGCATAAAAGAGAAAGCAGACATAGCAGAGTTTGGTATTTCAGACAATTCATGCAGTGAGGAAAGTCAAATAAACCAGAATTTGCAAAGCTACACTAAAAACCTGAAAGTGTTAAGTTAGTTGGGATATATTTCCTCATTTTCTTCCCTCCTCCCAGTAACATATCAACTCCTAACTTTCAGGCTAAAAGTGACATCAGAATATTAATGTGTTGCTGAGCTATTGTAGGAAGCACTTTTCCTCACAGTAAAGCTCTGCCAGGCTGATCATCAAGTGGCAGCATGAAGGCAGAAAAATTTTATTTAGACTTTGTAGCATGTATGCTTAGAGTTACATCCTAACTCTGTAAACAAGGAATCCTCTGCAGGTTACCTTCAGAACATATCTCGCACAATTGTGTAACACAGCATGATGAGTAGATTGGCCATACATTTTAGAGTAAAACTATATCCAAGCTGAATTTAAAAACTCTTCCTACTTTGTAACATACACAAATTAATTCCTTAGAAGTCTCTACATAACGTGCATGGCATAAACTGTGAATGTCACATAATTCATGCAATGCTAGTTGTTTTCAAAGTAAAAAGAGGCTTTATCATTTTCCTAAAAGCATGACACACTTTGAGGTCAATATTTGCATCCATGAAAATAACACACACCATAACTCTTTTTTCTAGCCAGGCCAAGCCTTGAAGTTAAATAAATAGCACAACTACTTTTGTGAAATACATAGAGGCATCTTTAAACTTCACATGCCAAACTGTAGGTGGGCACTAAGACATTTTCAGGTTGGCTGCTAGTCACTGTTAAGGGCTAAGCCCCACTGGCTTCATGTGGTGACTGCTGTTTAACTCCCTGGCATTTGGACCTCCCACCCTTTTTTTTTCCCAAAACTAAAGTGCTTTCTTTAAAAGGATAAAAAAAAAAAAAAACCCTTACTGGAAAGAACTGGTTGCCCCTAAAATTACTTCAAAAAAATCCTGACAACCTTCATAACCCCCCAAAAGACTAGATGATTCCCAATGACGTGTGGACTGCCACTAATCTCTCTTTGAAGAGGAAAATCCTCCCTAGGCTTCTGGTCTGTGAAGCAACTCTCCTCTTCACCAAATCCTTCATGTGCATGAATAGCAACTGAAGCACCAAAGAGATTCTCAGAGGAGAAAGATGAGACGGATTTAGTCATGTCTGTGTAGACTGTAGCTCACAAACCCACAGCCACCCTCCTCAGCACAGCAATCTGTTATGAATAGCATTACATTCACAACACAAGGAGCACCTGAGGCACTCAATAAACACATGCTCCTTTTCTCATTATGCAGAGGAAGAGTTCAAGTTTTGTAGAGAATATACATTAAATTAGTAGAGGAGTGATTAAAAGCCCAGAGAAACAGCTTGTCACTGCCCAGCTTCTCATTCCTGTCTATCATTTACTAATCACAGGACTGCAGTCCCTTGGCTGAGTGTAAAGGAGCACTGGAAATGAGTAAGACAATCAAAGGAGTGCACAGGATGCCAAGGGAAAATGGTACATAAAAGACAGTACATTGGGTCCTATTTCCACAGGCATGGTGGCCTCAGACTAAGCAGGGAACCAGAGTCCCCACTCCTCAGTCTTTAAATAGGTGTGATTTGCCTACCCAGCATCTATGCTATATTTGTAGCTCAGCCTCTCTTTAAAACTAGGCTGTGTTCTTTTGTTTTGAAGATAATAATCCATGTTATAATTAAATTCAGTACTTTAAAAATAACCTATATTAAATGGCCAGACTGTTCTCTAAACCATTTTAAATCTGGGCACATTCATTCACTCAGAAGAAGGATCATTTACTTGGTCCAAAGCAATGATTAATCAGCAAAGGATGAAACTTTCTGACATTGTTGATTCCAAAGTTAAAGACTTATCCTCACTGTCTTGCTAACCATCCTTTGATCTAATAAGTAAAAGCCTGAAGTTTTTTGAATTACTTTTGTCTTATAATTTTTAGCAAGAGACTAACAATATCTGATGATAAGTAGAGCGAGGGAGCTCCAAAGGACAGAGAAGGAAGTATTTCCAGTGCTTTACTCTGTAAGGCAGAGAACAGGATTTCAGTCCAGTAGCCATTTTGAGCATATACCTACACTGCTGTCTCTGGTAAACAGACACAAGTGATGGAGGCTGCAAAATAACATTTAGACCATAAACTTGAAGATACTGCAGCTGGGTTCATGAAAGGGATTGGCACAGAATGTCCTGTTTCTAAAGGATGCATTTCTAAGCATTGCCATTACATTTAAATGTAATACTAAATCCAAATCTGATCCCAACACACCATCTTCACGACAAAACCATCTTATTCTTAGCTATTAGCTATTTAGTAAATAGTAGACCTCAGCTAAGGCTGATACACTCACTCATGTTTTCTCTTGTGTTATCTCTCTAGATACCAAATAAAGCATTTAGTTTGCTTTCTGGATCAATTCAGTTCAGGACAGCCTGAGTTCCAGGAAAGTTGGTTATATACTTGCATTTAGGCACAGGGAAAACAGTGCTCTCCCCTGCCCACAAGTGCCAACCTCCCCAGACATCTCATGTGTAAGTGCTGCCCACTGCAGTGTGGTGGGAAGGAGAGGTTTTTGCAGCACAGCAGTTCCTGACAGCAGGCCAGCCAGGACTTGGATCCTTGCAGAGGAGTGGGCAACAGGCTATTTTCGAAGTCTGCTGACCCACCTATGCTGTGAACCTACCCTGCTCAGTGGGTCCAAAGGCTTAGATGTGGAGCAAAGTAAAAATACTGCTTTCCTTTTCCAGAGCTTTCTCCTGCCCTGGAGAGCTGGAAGCATGACCATTTCTAAACCCCTCTGTGCTCACTCTGCAGCTGGTCATTAGCATGTGGAGCTTTGAACTTCTCAAACCAGCACTTCTAGTCTGTCTTTGTGGAGTTGAAGCAATTCACAGAGCCAATGTTTATCCCCAACTATGTTGTCAAGGGACCAAATGTCTTCCCCTCTGCCCTTTAGTACATCTTTGGATCACTAAGTAACAGTATGACAAGAATTTCCCTTCTCAGCAGGATGGGAACATTGATGTAAACTCTAACCTGCATTCTCCATGGGCTCTAGATAGCCCCATAAACCAATTTACAGTTCCCTGCAAGAAAGCCTAAATAAGGAAAATGAGATAAACTGGCCTCCCTAGATAATATTCACCCATACAACAATATGATTATGCCCTTAGCTGAATGTTGAAAAGTTGAAACAATGATAGGCAGTGCCAAAGGATAAATAAAGAACCTTAAATGCAGCTATTTGGAGATGAAGTTTCAAAGACTGTCACTCAAAAATGCATTAATTTCAGTACAAATAGAAATTTAGGCAGCTTTAAAACTACCTATTGACAGTTATCTTAAACAATAAGAGACTACATTTGAAAATCTAGTCCGATATTCCATATGTCTCACCCCAGATTATTAAAATCTCAAAAAAACCAGAGATTTTCCTTTTCTATAAGAATTATTTGTTTGTACCAGAGTTTGCATTTAGACAAGAAAAAAATGGAAGAGCAAGTGCTGTAGTGAGTCAGTATTCCAAACAGAAAAATCCACTGGACTCTCAGATCTGATGTTTCATTCTCATTTGAACTTACAAATTGTAAGAAATAGTTTTGAGATAAATGCCAAGCTTACAAATAAAACTACGACATGATTTTTAATTTCAGTGTTATTCATCCACATTCATTAAATGAAGTACTGACTACTGCCCTCCATACAGTATTAGAGAAAAAAAATACTTGTGGATAGACAGAAAGGAGCACAGATTGGGATATTAATTCAGGATCTGAGATGAAAAGAAAAGAGGACTGAACAACACAGTTTATTAATAATAGTCTATTAACATAATACAAGGTGAGTTTAGAAGGGCTTCCTCAAAGCAGAGAAGTGCAGTGTCCCAGCTTTGCCTTGCATCACCAATACCCTAAGTGCTAAAAGGGGAAAAAAGAAGCCTCTCCATGAGCCTGTTCTGTGTTGGACAACACTGCATGTTACAGGAATAAAGCTACAACACACAATCAAATAAAAGGATGCAATTTGTAAGCACATGAGTAAACTATGATGCAGACAACTCAATATTTTTTTCAATTCTATAAGTTATCCACACATATTTATATGAGTAAACGAAAAGGAAAAACATGTCTTTTCATCTGGCCTTCACAATGAGAAGTTCACACAGGAAATTAGTTTCAAAGTAGCATGAATGAAAATGTAGATTTTTTTTTTCCATTTGCATGACCATTTTTCTTGATGAGTTCTTGCACATTCATGATCTTAGAAGAAAAAAAAAATCTATTAATCATAACTTACAAATCTCTATCACATAAAAATGACAAGTGCTAAAAAAAAGTGGTTTTGATCAGTGCATTATGTGAAGAATAAGTAACTGAAAAATCACAAAAAGAAAAAAAAATATAAAACTGTGCAGTCTGTCTGGAAAACACCTTAAGCAGAAAGAGGCTGAACCAGACAATGAGGTATGTGAGACAAATCACTGGCTCTACTGCATAAGGCAGATACTCATTCTATTTACACACGCCCTCTCAACAGTAAAAGTGAAACCCAGAATAAGTACCATGCAATGAAAGATAAACTACAGTTCAGTCAGGGTGTACCTTAACAAATCAATGAAAATTGGTAGTCCTTTTCTTACTGTTGCCTGAGATGCTCTTGTGTATTACTGTAAGAATGGCTTGCTGTTTTACTTTGTAAAATTCTAGCCTTAGTCAATGCTGCTGCTTATTTGGGCTGTCGTTCATTATTACTTTATTTAATCAACTTAGATTCTGAACTGGTCTAGTATTTCTATAATCATCTAAAAGACACTGGATTCTACTAGAAATATTCTGAAGATGAGCAAATCCACT